AAAAAAAAAAAAAAAAAAAAAAAAAAAAAAAAAAAAGAAAAGTTGAGTTAGTATTTCCCCAAATAAATTATCCAGATGCTTGGCTAAGGCTGATATGAGCTGTAGGGCTTAGGAGAGAAAAGAAGTTTATAGCTATCATGGGTCCATCTGCTATGAGCTAAAGAGAAGAAAACCAGGACCAAGATGCATTACTTCAATTTGATCACTGTTATAAACACCCTCGGCTCCAACTCTCTAAAAGTTCTAAAATCTTGGTGGTGGCTTCTCCCAGTGCAGGGTAGAATCCTCTATTTTGAGTTGCTACAATCTGATGTTGTCCCCAGACTCTAGCTAAGTTTTTTAAAAACGCTTACTAATAGCTCTCTTTGATACTTTAGTGTTAACAGGAAGGGCAAAGGTTTTATGAGAGATATGATCCTGTAGGCTTGGAAATTCATCTGTTTTATAATTGAAAGCTAAGCATGAGAAAGATACATGTACCTATATATTTAATCTGTCCGTGATGCTTACTATTTTTTCCTCTTTAGAGCGTGTTTTACCCACAATCCCCCACCCTATTCAAGGTCAGTATGATTTTTATCACTGTAGCTCTGTTGCTGGGTCATTCTCCATCATCTATAATGTGCAAAACACAAGGAGAAACACATACACAAAATTCACATACAATAGAAATTATCATTTTTAAAACCTTCACAAGAATGAGTCAATTAGTTGCCCCATACCAGTTGATAGGTATATAAAAGGTCTGTCACCTGACCTACTAACTTCAAGTTGGTCAGTAGCTGGGAAGACATTGCTAAACTCGAATATGGATTGAAGAAAAGAAAATCCCTTATTACATGTTAACTATAAACTCATATAATTTGAAATACAGCCAGTTAAATCCTCTAGCCCACAAAAATACAGATCCTCCAACTGACTACCCTCACATTTGGGGGTTTATACAATCTGAATCTGAAGTCATTGATATTACTTGTAAAAATAAACTTATATACTGCCAAAGGTTAAACTCAACCAGAATGCAACAAGGACATTGCTTTTTCTCAATATAATAGCCAATTCTTTGGCTTTTCCTTTGAAACATAACTATCTTAGAAAACACAAATAAAATAACAGATACTTATTCTGTATTCCTTTTCATAAATCTTTGTACACACTTAAATTAAATGTTGCCTCCTACATTACATTTAGATGCAAGTTGCAGCCACAACTCTCTAGCTTAAGGCTATTTAAAGGCAAATTGGCAAATAAAATTAAAACAATACAAAAAATTTGAAATGAAAGCAACTTACCATTGAAATTAAATTCCAGAAAAGTGATTTGCAAATAGCACTCAAAGACCTGAGAAAAAATGGAAACTAGGCCATGTGGGGCATGGTGTGGAAAAAATAAATTCAATTAAATAAGATTATCATACACACTATAAAGGAAATGTGCTCTGAATTAAAGGTAGAAAACTGCTGTTTTATAAGTTTGAAAGTGGATCTTATTTCATTAACACTTGTCCAAACTAAAAATTAAAGCCAAATTGGATGTAGATATTCAGAGTGTCAAAAATGCAATGTTTTGCATATGTATGCATTCACATATATGCAAACTTATTTTAATTATATTTGATATGAGGATTGCAAGGTTTCAAGGATTGACTAGACAGCTTAATGAAAGCGTTATTCTTAAATTTTAAGAAGAGTCTGAACTATTTTTAGTATAGAAGCTTATAAGAACTCTCTTGGATAAAAAACTTCCATAAAACAATGAAATCCATTTCTTATCCCAGCCACTAAAAGTAAGACTGTTAAAATGTGCCTGTTTTTTAGTCTTGACACAAAACAGTGTTCACGGAAAATAGCCCACTTAGAATTCCTGACATTCCACAATTATTTTAAGACATTTCTCTTCTAGTGTTGCTGCAGAGATTGACACCATTTTATCATGTTGCCATCGTGCAAATGTCCTGATATGAAAAACAAGCCTCATACACATTTGCCCCAATGGATAACATTTTCAAAGAGGTCACACTCCATCCAAGATGGGCTTTGTACAATATCACTGTGACTGTAGGTGTCCTTTGTGAGAGCAGTTCTGCAGCCACAAACTCAAATATCTATCTGACCATGGATTATGATATATGAAGCATTGAACAAAGTGAAGCCAGACACTGTTCACAATGGACAGCTGTCAGATACTGCAAGTCTGGCTAGGACTGAAGCACGTGGGGTTTTTTGAACTTTATATTTCCTGCAAACTGAATTGCTGATTGGAGAATGACCCTAGTTTGATTTTACATTGTAGGTAGACTGTAGTTAGCTTTCTTAGATCCCATAGTTTTTAGAGAATATAGTTTATCTTACTACTAATACTTCGGGCTTCTGCGAGTGGAAATTGAAAAGCTGTTCATTGAGACTTGGGATAGCTGGTGTGAGAGGTTGCTATAGAAAGACTATCCGTGCTTAAATTCCCAGCTTTTTACGGACACTTTTACTTCTCAGGCATCAAATCATTTTTCTCCTCTTTCCAATCAAGAGGGCAACCTATGTGAAATGCGGTTTCCCATGGAAAGAAATACTATTAATATAGGATGCGTCACCCTTTTTCTGGTGCCAATTAAGTACCCAAATGTCTATGAAAAGCACACTTCACTGTAGTCATAACTGTACTGCAAGACACTTTCATTTAATTAAGTACTGTATATTGTCATTATCTATGTGGAATCCCAAATTTCATCCCTAAAGTGCTAACATGTGTCTAAGCAGTTGGTTGATTTAAATGGACTGAAGAATTTTGAACCGATTAATTTCCTTAAGGTGTTTTGAAAGGAGGAGAATGTCACAAGGATCATTTTCTGTCCTCCCATGATAAAAAAAAAAAGAATGTTCTCTCCTAGTTTCCAACCTAACAGAAAGGTATGTTTCAGTTCAGCTGTGTCATTGTTAATATCTCTCATGGGAGGGTCGCCCCTCCTATGAGAGACTCATCACACTGGCTGGAGATTCACAGCAGAGTCACAGCAGGATTCAGACCTAAACCCCTTCAAGCTGTGATTAAACAAAAACAAGACTCAATAAATCAAATGCATTTCCCCTCGTTTCCTTCGTCATATTGCTTGATTTTTCTGCAGTGATAACAATAATACTGGAATTATACCAAAGGGTAATTTGTATTGACTGTGGCCAATCAGAAAATTTCAAATGTCCTTTTCCCCTCTGCCAAAAACAAAACAATGAAATCGGCTTGCTTCCCTGCTTTTTAGTTTAAAATATATACAGTGTTCCATTCTTGATCTGTTTCTGATAGGTGTTTTTTTCCCATTATTTTAATTTAGGTTTATTTATTCTTAAATGAGTCCCAAATTGCATATATTTGCATAAATACTCCTGACTATATTGCTGCAGAAAATTCACTGAATTGTAAAATGAGGAAAGAGTCAGCTCTAAATATCTGAGGGAACTATTCTCACTTTGTTAGGCTCAAATCATTTCTGAGTCCTCTAAATACTGGGCAATGATAACACCTCTCTCCCTGCCAGCTTACTTACACATCACCCTTCTTCATAATGGAAGTGCACCCAGAGATGCCCTCACATTGAGAAAGACTGGACGTTCAGAAAGAGGTGATGAAAACAGCCTCAGAAAATTAAAACGAGGTGAAAAAAGGGAAAAGGACAAGGACAAATCACCATCGTTTTGTTTTTATAACTCTCAAGCAAAGAATTCCCTCGAGCTTGGGGCTCTCTGAGCTCAATCAGCCCATGCTTTTCTGATCACTGCCACTTTAAAACAAAAACAAAAACAAATCCTGGAATGTGTTTCACTTGTTTGCCTCCCATCTGATTATTTATCCCAAGTGAACAGCCTTTCCATTCACTAACCCCGTGTGGCAAGTGGGTTTGGGAAATGTTGAGATTACCTTTCAGGTTCAGGCATTGCAGTGGGTTTGTTCACAGCTGCTTGCCATTCAGTCCCTGTTTTATCATTGATAAAACGCATTGCACATGGCTGGGTTTGCATGATTAATACAGCTGTCTAAAGCCTTCTCTGAAAACAAAACAAAACCCCCCAAAGTTAAAGTTTTAAGAAAATTAAGGTCCAACCCAAAACAACCCATGCTTGCAAAAATCTGAAGTCAGCCTGGCATGTTTCCTCCCGAAGGGAGACTGGGTGGGCCTGGCATTCTGACAGCCAGATTCTATCTCCAGTACATGGAGAATGGGTTCTTGAAATCAGACACCAATGGGATGGAAGGAAAAATGGGAGAAAAGTCCTGAGCATAGCCCATGCTGTGAAAATCACTAGAAAAGTCCTACAGTTTCATTTATTTTCTGTAGAACACCATCTTGGGTATCAATAAGAAAATGCTTTTTTCAGCTCCTTAATATAACAGTAGTTTCTCCTTGCCTAATAATAGTAGTAATCATAATAATAATAGCTAACATTCATGGTGGGCTTCTCATGTGCCAATAGAGTTTGAAAGGCTTTTGCATGTATTAACTCAATTAATCCTCACACCCTAAGAAAGTAGCATACACCTTCTTGTATTTAATGTTTTGGGTTTTTTTTGTTTGGTGGCTGGCCATACGGGGATCTGAAACCTTGACCTTAGTGTTACAATACCACGCTCTAATCAGCTAAGCTAACTGGCCAGCCCTCTTCCATACTTTTTAATGATCAAAGTACACCCAAATTCCAGTCTACACCTTGTTGCACCCAGACCCATACATAAATCTATAGTACATTATAAATAACCATCATGTATGCATTCACATTCATTAAGTATGCATCTATCCAATGAATTTTAAACGTTGATCTAGTTTATTTTATGTATCATAATGCCTTTAATACATAATATTTAGTTACTTTAATATCCACATATTTTTACAAAGTCGATTTTCAGATATGCTCAACACACAGAGAGATGTATGCCCAACTCACACAGATTTATATGAAAGCATTCATCTTTAAAAAAACATGAGCAGAGCTATCTGGCATTGGCACATCTAATTTCACACACATATTCAGGCTGATTTACATATACACCTCTGTTAATCATGGATAATTACTAGCATTGTTCTCTATAATTCAGTTTTTCCAACTGTGAAATGGGAAAGAAATTATATTTTTCATGCCTACAAGCTCAAAGTGGTATTTTAAATAATATACAAAAGAGAGGTTCAAGTTCCCAGAGAGAAAGCATATTGAATTTAAAATAATCATATTCAGGGCCGGCCCCATGGCTCACTCGGGAGAGTACAGCTCTGGTAGCGCCGAGGCCTGGATCCGAGGATTCGGGGTTCAAGTTCCCAGAGAGAAAGCATATTGAATTTAAAATAATCATATTCAGGGCCGGCCCCGTGGCTCACTCGGGAGAGTACAGCTCTGGTAGCGCCGAGGCCTGGATCCGAGGATTCGCGATAGAAATATTGCTCTTCTATGAGCACTATGGAAAAAAAGAATCTTTCAAAGTAACAATTACATTTGGGGATTAAGTTTAAGTAATTGGCAGTCTTGTCTTTTTAATTAAAAGGAATAAAACTGCCTAAGAAGAGCTCAGTGAGATTGGCAGTGGA